ATTGTTTTAATATGACTTATCTGAGGTGCAAGGCACAGCATTAATTGAAAGCAGCTATTTTACATTATTTTAGTTATAGATTAGTTATTTATTACCCTGGTCAAATAAAGTCTATCTATTTATCTTATATGCATGTAGATAACGGTATTAATGCCTTACTGTGTTTATGAAAGTATTTGAGCATGTTTTTTCCCGTTGTTTTCAACAGTTTTGGCATATCCAGCATACTTGATGGGCGTGAATGATATGCTATTAAAAGAGAAACTGATCAGGTATGAAATAATGCCATTCATAATATACAGCCACGTAAGTTAAACTGATGTGTTGAAGAGTAATGTGAAGCTGTTAATTTGATGTACAATCTGACATGTATGACATCATTTTTAAATAACACTGCGAAGCAAAGCACCGCAGCATAAATGTGTTGAGAACTGCATCTCCACACAAATTATGGCTATAATGATAAGCATAGACTTAGAATTTGTTCTTCAGGAATTAATGGCAACCATCTGTTTTGGAGAGGCCCATTCACAAAATTACAGTCTGTAACTACTTAGAAATAAGTGTATATCTCATTTAACAAAGTGCAGAGTCTGTATTTGGAGAATACTAAGGATGTGCTCTATTGGGATCAACCGTTTCAACTGTAACCGGTTTAGGTTGATATGGTTGACATTTCTCAATAGAACACCTTCCCAACCATTTTTGGTTGAAATGCGGTAACTCCTGGGAAGAGTCCTTATGTGAGCTTCAATCATGCCACATAATCAAGCAAATGCTCTTTCAAACGTTTCAACCTAGTTTGAGGCCAGTTTCAAGAAAAAGTTGATCAACAAGACCAACTGAAAACGGTTTTTCCCCAGTAGAACAATTTCAACCAACCCAGTCAACCAGAAACGGTTTATCCCAATAGAACACTATCTAAGTCTTACCCAGGGACTTGACAGAACGGATGGGGTACAGTCAGGTCTGTAAAGACAAGACCAATTACCGTTGTTCTCCCCTCCTGCAGGGTAAAGTTATTACATGTGTACATGCAACAACAACAACAACAACAACATCCTCTTTATTACCCTTTTTTCATTAATGAATACAGAAATATATAAAATATTGCTTAAAATTAGGGTTCTGGCAACCGGAAATAACCACTAGGTTAAAAATGCCGGGTTGCCAGTTTACAAATTGGTTAGTCATGACACTATGATTGAATACATGTAAGAACTACAAAAACATAACCCAGTCTAATACTTAGAAAACATTGGACTGGCAATTAAGCTTTCCAAGTGGCTGATTTTGGTCAGTAATTGGCCCTCCCTGCTGTCTAAACGATATAGTAAAATGTGTAGATAGATCATTTCGTGTACATTATAAGACAATAGAACATGTAGCTTGTAGTAGTTTTGTAGGTTTTGTGAGAACTGGGGTCAGTATTTAAGCAATTTACCCTGTCTGTCTCACTAAGTTTTCACTATTATTGGTTTAGCCGAGTTATGGACAGCAAGTGGGGTGGCAAGACAGAAACCATCAACATGCAACTCAATGTGGAACAGGTATGTGAAAATCTTAAGATGTTTTGTTACCACACAAAGGACCAGGCAAATTACAA